CGGGGGGGGGGCGGGGGGGGGGGGGGGGGGGAGAGAAAAATAAAAATTATCGGGTTATCGAGGTCGAGTGCGCAGAAAGATATATGAAAATCATTCCGGAACAAAATGTCTCGCGTTAAAAAGTCAGGAGAATCCTCTCCGAGGGTGATAACAGACCGTACATATCAAGATTTAATGCGTATTTTGCAAACAGAGACAACGTTTTAAAAAAATTCATTCCCTGACACAAAATTAATAACAAATGAGTAAAAAAGTCACGAGCAGATTCTTATTTCGTGAATATTTCTGGAAGTAGTACACAAAGAAGAAAAGTTTCTAATTTTCAGATCAGAATATATTTTACAATTTGGTACAGACCACACTACAGATTCAACCGTTTTCAATCATCAAGTTTATCAATTAAATTGCGTGATAAAAATTTGAAAAAAAATCATGAATATTCAGGATCATTTAAATTACATTTTGCACAGAATTATCATTTTTTAACCATTCGTTGTTTATAAATAAATAATTGCAATTGTTTAAACTTTCGGAAACCTAATTTTTTTAAACATGAAATCAATTTCTGGTAAAATACTCAATATAAATAAATTTGTTACGATTCCAAACAAATGAATTTTATAGTGGAAAATTGATTGTTTATAAATTATTTATTGAAAATTCGTAATTTTCAAAAATTGAATTTTTTAAATTATTCCATCAAACTTCCTCCCAAAGTAAACGTTCTAATTTTTTTCCGATTTTTAAAATGTTTTCTAATGGTTCAATATCGAAATTCAAATTCAAGCCTATAAAGGTTAAGTAATAAAATCATTGCAACATATCCGGAAACGTAGGGTCAAACAGGACTCAAGTGAATGCTCTTAAATACGGTTATCACCCAGCTGGGCTGTACATGCACCGCCTACCCCACTCCCCGAAACAACCCTCAAATTCCCCCCACCAATTCTCAAAACCCAATCCTTCCCTGTTCCCCTAATTAGCCCCATAAATTCCCCTCAAGAAACCTGAAAAAAACCTCGAGGATCGCGTGCACAGTATAATCGATCCGTTCGGACAGCTCACGGAGACACAGTATTATGTATAACATTATCTCGTCACGGTGATTCGTTATTCCCCCATGAGCCTGACTTATTACCCCCTCGATTTCCACCTCGAGACGCCCCCCCTCCTATTTTCCATATTTACCATTGCGCTCCATGCAAAATAGACTACAACCGAAACATAATAATAAAAACCAAGCGGGAAATTACTCTTGTATTGCATATAGTAGATTATTTTTATTAATAAATTAGCAATAAGCTTCCGAAGGATTATTTTGCACATAATCTCCTTCTATCGTGTACAATTCATTCTTTATTTCATTTTATTGAATTGAATAAGATTTTTTTTCAACTTCGCTGAATGTTATCAGCATCGTTATTCTTATTATCCCTTTTCTTCTAGACAACCGATTGTCTTTTTTACAGTACTATCTCTCCCCTCAGCCCTTCGATAAAATGTTAAGGGGAGACTACTATGAATTTTAAAAGTCGTGGGTTATTGGAGTGAGACTTTTCATACGTTGAAGATCGATTGTATAGATCTGAAAACGAATAGTTAGTGCAAAGAAAAATTTTTTTATTGTTCGTTTGCCCGAAAACGCTTAAAATGCCAAAAACAGTCCAGGGCCTCCAATTTTTAAGCTACGAAGGAATTTTTTTTTCCAAAATTTCTGGAAAAATATGTGGAATAACAATTACGAGGTAGTTTTTTTTTAATTCGGCTCTTGCATGGCTAAATTTTTTTTTTTTTGTATTTTTATACACAAATAGGGAATTTTTTTATATTAAAAAAAACGAAATCACCTGTGTAGGAGTTGAATTCCAAAAAACTGGCTCATTTTAAGCGTTTTTGGACAAACGAACAATAAAAAAAATTTTTTTTTGCACTAATTATTCGTTTTGAGATCTATATGAGGTATTCCATGCCAAATGAGTCAACGGCTAACCCTCACCCTCTTGAAAATTGATAGCGATTTTTTCTACGATTAGGGGGCTTGAAAAACTATCTCTCAAATTTTTTCAGATTTTTTTGACAGCCCAGTTTGGAAATGTGATTTTTTTCAAATTGTTGCGTTTTTTACAATAACTCGAGTTCTACTCATCCGATTTCGATTTATTAGGAGGCAAAATTTCCCATTTTTCATCACCTATAAAAAGGTTTTTTTTTAAATTTTTCCAAGTTTTAGATGCTCGAAATAACGAATTTTCGTTTAAAAAAAAGTTGAAAAACTTGAATTTTGCCAATTACGTCACGGTCGATTATTTTAATTTCTTTTC